TTTTAAGAGCAATGGTTGATTTTATGAGATAGTACAATGGCCATGGGCTTAGTCACAGTGTCCATACTCAGCAATATCATTCCCTCCTTAAAATAAATAGCCCCAAACAGTTTGGGGGCTTACAGTTAATTGATATTAAGATGTCCAGCTGAAAAGGAGAAGGAAATAAAATAGTAGCAAAATGGTGCAATAACACTCTGCTAAGCAAGATGAATAATTACGTGACTTGAAAGGAGAGCTAAGGGCAGAGAAAACTAATAATGCATGATTAAAAAGGGGGTGCAATGATTGGGTGCAGTGCTGTCTCTGAGGAAGAGTTTAAATTAGGAAAAAATAGCAGGATGGAGGGATCTGAGATGTGGCACAGTGATATCTGGGGCTAAGGAAGACTCTCTGGTGCCAGGGTAGCTACTGAAAAGACAAAATCAGTAGGGGAGGGAGTTAGGGCTTTAGCAGCCCGAGGAGTTACACTGTGTGCAGAAAGGAGTCTAGAAAGGAGAAGCCTTGGAAAAAGCAGTCAGGGCTGATCAAGCAAGAGCTGTATAATCAGTCCATGGGAATATGACTTACCTAAAGAAGAAAAAAGCTTTCAGGAAAAGGGCTTGGTGAACAAAGATGTCTTGGGAAAATTGGAATGGACGAAGCCAACAGCTCCTCCAGAGCCAGAGGAATAATTGTGCTTATCCTTAGGATACTAAGAATTACAGTCCCCAAACTGTGGTGCCTATGAGATCCACTTCTACCAGTGTGTTGTGAGACCCATCAGAAATGGGTTTTGTGGAGTTACAATGTATGTTGAAAGCGGGAAGAAAGAGAAAAAGGTGGTATCAAAGGTGGCATCCCAAAGGCACTGGGAACACCTGAAGTTTTAAGTCAAGAGACTGAGAGCTTAATTATTAGGATAAAAATGTGGTCATGGGACTGGCCACAAGTGGACTACAGAAAGCTCTGAAGGAGATGTCTTCTTGAAGGTGTTTGTCATCATTTTAAGGCAATATCTTGGTTAACCCATTAGAGATATTACTAATATATCTCCTGCTTGGTTTATTCTGTTTGTTCCAAGGTATAAAAACAGTGGTGTGGCCATGGAAAAACTGTTATTGCAGATGATTTTATTTCCTCAGGAAAAAGATGGCAAAGGAATAAGCCTCAAGACAACTGGAACCAATTTAAGTGCTCAATATCCTGGTAATAAGTACTTGTTAATAGCCCTTTAGGAAGGAAATGATTTTACCTTTAGAAGAGTATGAAATGAGCAAAACTGGAACCAACCACTTMGACTTTTGGATTGGAGCACAGTGTGGGACAGGGAAGCTGCAGGGAATCCAAATGGTACCTTTGCAACTGAGGTCGTATTAGGTGTTGACACACCTGAGGTTTGGCAAGTGCAGTTGTGGGTGGAATGGGTGTGAGAAATGGAATCCTAAATTCATCTGGTATTGAAATGATCACAGCTAAAATGAGGGTGTAATCTGTAAGATTTACAAATAGTAATTAGTGGTTTTATAGTTGTGTGTGCTTTTAGATTATTACTCATTTAATTGCTTTATTACATTATTAGTAGTGTATTTAATCACCAAACATTGTATCTTCTAAATCAGGTATGTGAAGCCTGCAGTCTGAAAGGGGGAGAGGTGGTCCTCAGAGCAACAGGTACAGGCAGCTTGCAGGTTGCATGGCTGGCGGTTACTGAGAGCTGACTCTTGCCTCATGCCCACTCGCAGCAGCTCTCAGCATGACGGGGCATGTCCCTGTATAAGCTAATCACAGGAACCTGTCTCGGAATAAATGCAGCTCCGTGCAAGGAAGAAGCACAGCTGCTAAAAAGCTGCCTTGTACAGCCATGAATAAAAGCAGGCGTGCTGAGCATCATGTTAGAAAAGACTTGAAATGATCCAACGTGACCTTCCCTAGCAGAGGCTTAAGCTGACTCTAGAGAAACCCCAATGTTGTGAGTGGGAGCCCCTTGCATGAACTGGTCCAAGGGTGGTTCAATGCTGCACTAGCAGCGGAGGTGCCAGTCGGAAGGACTCCGGCACTGGGAAGGCCTGAAGCCCAGGTGGGGTTTGATGGGATGTGCTCYCATGTCTGGGCAGTGTGTGTGTGTTCTGGGGCCAGCAGATGCCCTAGTTAGGACAGGAAGATAGCGGCAGCTGAGTAAAACTAGGAAAGGCTGCACAGTTTGGCCAGCTATTGTCTGCTAACACATCTGTGCTGTGTTTTGATACTGAAACAAACTGAAGTGGCACTGAATTAAATGAGGGTACTAACAAGGCTTTCAGATGGCAGAGAGTGACCATCAGTCTCAAAGACAAAGCGCCCATTGGTACAACTGACAGGCAGAAGCATCTTCTGCTCTGYGCAGCCATCTGGGCTGCGTCTCTCCGCGAGTCCTTGGGCAGACACCCGATTCCTGAGCAGGTGCCAAGCGCGGGAGGCAGCTCTGCTCGGGATCACCAAGCACCTGCTTGGTCCCCAGCCATCACGCTGCCTCTAGTGCTAACATCAGACRTGGTGAGGGACAAGCAACTGTTCCAGTGCTAAAAGCACAAGTAGTTTATTTACAGCAACTAATTGTTACATGCACTAATATCTAAACTGGTAATTTTCCCCTAAACCCTTGTCCACAGATAACCTGTGTCACACACTACTGTAGTATTGTGGTCCTGTAGCGCTTTCTCTGGGAATGTGTGTCTTGATTGTTATTTTAAAATCTACTCCCAAATTCCATATTTGCTGTTAGATGCTAAGATAGGAAGAAAAAGCCTTCACAGCAGCTGTGAAAGGACTCTGCAATTTTACATTTCAAGAACCAAGGCAAACTTTCTAAGCCCTCCCAGGTGGGCACGCTGGTAASAGGCTTCAGGATGTCGGACCGCAGAAGTGGACGGGTGGTTAGTGAGGAAGGCGAGGAGTTATCTGTGCTAGGACATTGCTRTTGAACAGAAAACACCCTGAGGTAAATTGACACCATCCTAACAGGCATCTTTCTCCACGTCTGACACAGTGATTTGTACACTACTGAAGCATTACTTTAATCAACAAGGCCAGTAGGTAACATTTAAGCAGTGGGAAAGTGAAGAAAGGTGCACTTGTCTGCAGATTATTTTGAGGCATGCTCGAGTTTCTCAGATTTCCTTTTCTGAACAGGCCTCTGCACCCTGGTGTTGGGCAACATCTTCAGTTTCTTCASTTTCTCCAGGTGTGGGTGCTCACGGTGGAGTATCTATGCCCACAGCTTTCATCTTCATGAAGGSTTTTTTTTTGTGACCACCTGTATTACAGGAACTGCTGCTTGGCCAMGTTGGAGTGACTAACAATGACCACCAATGATTAATAATGACACCAGATCGTTTATTTTTTCTTTTCTATTCAGAAGGACTGAACTTCTTTTTTCTGCCCTGGAGTACTTCCTGACCCAGCTGTGATTGCTTTATAGGGAAGAATAAGCCTCAGGRCACAAGGCATCCTTGTATTCTCCTAAAATTGAAGATCGAAAACAGTAGCTTTGAGTTTCAGTGTACTTTTATTGATGCACCTGTATGCTAGAGTCAAAGTGTAGTCAGGATGACTGAATTTAAAAGTATTTCTTCTGAATATCTGGATTTGACCTTATGCAAGCCCTTCATTGTGCAATGGTCCTTTTTGTTTATCAGAGAGCAGGTGTGAGGTGCCATGAACCCGTAACCCAGAGCCCTGCTAGCTTACCTTACTGACCCAGCTCCGCTCTCCAGGTAACCTGCAAGGGTCATGGGTAAACTCTCCAGAGCCAAGGCCTAGTCTTGTTTCTGTATCTGAAATTCCACATGTGCTCTAAAACCCTTAAGAATCCAGAAACAGAACATTTCCCATTCTGAAATAGGAACATTAATTGGAAAAAAACCTGAARTATTCTCTACAGAACACTTGAAATTAGCAGAATCTGTTGTTCACCCATTTGATAACAACTGGTCCAATAAACATGCCAGCAGGGAATGCATCCTGATGCTAAGTGAGTTTAGATCAAAGGCTGGTATGTTTACAAATACCATCAACCAAATTAAACTATCAAAATTACCATATACACTGGAGGACAGGGAGTAATTCAGAAATTCACTTTTGACATAGCCATATAATCTTAAGCTAAAACATTTAAAATATATTTTTATATGCATAATATATCCTCATTGTTAAGTATTGTGCTAAAACTCAATATTTTAGTTTGACTCCAGAGAGAGTTTTGCTTTCAGAAAGTGGCTTTTGTAAGAAATCAAAATGGATTTCTAGAAACAACCAAAGTTTTCTCTTAGTACTATTATAACAGGCTGCATTTTTGCCTCTACTTATTTTAAGAATTAATGTTCTTAAATTGTTATTTTAAGAACTATCTTATACTATACAAACTAACTGTAAAAAGGGGTTTTATGGGAATATAAATACAATTCTGTAAATGAGTTACATGCTGTAATGACTTGTATTCACCCTGGGCACCCCTTTTGGCATATATTAAAAAAAATTGGGGTCTTCCAAAACAGGTAACACATTAATCTTTATTCCACATAACACTCAAAAGCATAGTTGGATTTTTTCTTCAAAATTTATTTATTTTCTAACATAAAAAACACCAGAAAAACTCAATTGGTAGAATGGCAACAGGCATAAACATTTACCTAAACTGCATTGGGTAATGCTGACCAACAGCTAGCAAATAGCATACGGTCACTTTAGCTCTAAAAGGAATTAAAACATCTGAACTACTATGGATTCCTTAGAAGACAAAGTCAATCTAAACACTTATGTAAACAGCTTTTTTAGTCTAAGATACTAAGTCTGAGAAATTATTTTAAGACTATTCTGTAAAACCTTTTATTGAAGACAAATAAGAAATCCACTGAAAATCAGCCAGAGTCTGATTCTTTAAAGCTRAGAAACAAACCTTCCCTTGCCTCCGAAGTGCTCCTTCCTGGCTGTACTTTCCAAACAACTTATTCTGAAAATGTTTCTTCACTGTATTTTAATTCCCAACCAGTCATTCCATTATTTATTTTACTACAGATACAACGTTCATTTTAAAGTAAGTGTGACTGTTCCTTTTTTCCTGTGAACTCAACACAAAACCTCTTGCTTAGGAATAAAACTTGAAATCACATTTTTGGTAACTGCCTGACAAAACCAGACATYGCTGATTGCACAAACCCAGACACAAATGAACAATGAGACTAATTAAACTTCCCAATACATCAGACCCCGATTAATTGATTTTTCCAAAAGAAAACTAATCAACTTGTAGGGAGCAAGTCGCTGATAAACAAAAGAAACCAAAAAGCAAAACCAAGCAACAATTCACAGAATGATATGTTAGCTGTTATTTTCCATTCCAAAGTAAAAACAATTTTCCAAAATATGAACAGCAATAAGTAAAAGGGACCCTTGCTTTAAAGCCAGAGAAGACGAGAAGCACATGCTGGTTGAACACACTCACTGGGCGATGCCCAAGYGTCTTGCTTGCTGGTGTCCTCTGTTATTGTTTGGTGATGTGAATTTTGCTGTGGTGTTTTCCTGCCAGTCCTCACCTCGCACCCATGAGCCACCTGCTACTGATGGAGCCCATCATCATAACTCAGGGCAATTCCCAAATGCAGCCATCTCCACACAACTATTCCCTGAGGGGAGAGGCTTGTGCTGCATTTTATTTCATTCTGACAGTTCCTTGGGGAAAATAAAGGCATCATTGGTGGTTACTGCTACAAGGTTTTCTAGACAGGGCTGAGGTGATGCCCACAGACAAGAGCTCAAGCACTTGCCCTTCAGCACGATTTGCCTTCAAGCTGCAAGAGAAGGCCCTGGTGGGAGCAGCAGCAGCAGCAGCCAGGCCACCCTGCTGCTCTGCTGCCTTGCTAAGACACTGCCTTGGCTGAGGACACCGCCCTGAAGCCTGTGAAGATTTCACCTCATTACAGGCTGGCCTAAGGACTACTGACATAGCAAATCTATTACTGGTAACCTCCATGCTCTTTAGAGAGGGTCCTCATGGCTTCCTAATGCAGCCCCTCCTGTCTTCCACCTGAGGGTTGTTAGGATATTTGCATATCATGGGAAGTTCCCCTCCTCTTAAAGCCCCCCTCATCTGCATCAAAAAACAAATTACAACAAAACAACTTTGAGAATAACAGGCTTAATGTCATGCATATTCCTTCAGGGTGGTGAGAGCTTTTGGTTGGTTATTTTTTKAAACATTTCCCCATTTCTTCAATTGATCTTTTGAGTCTGGTATCAAAAATAAAAAAAAAAAAAAGGGGTGTTTTGAGAGGTTAAGCTTTCACTCTAGCCTAGACAGATCAGAAAAATGGGAAGGGGAACTACAAAGAGCCTCAAGATCTTTATATATTAGTCATCTCCTGTATTTTCAGGAAGACTGACCTGATCCTAGAGATGTCAGTGGCTAACGCCTTAAGAAAAGACAACATGCCTGYCTGTGTACACATAGAAACACACCATATTATAGCTGAAAAACGTTCATCTATAATTACTGATTGCTATTTTTGATCTGTTTCTTGGTTTACTGCTTAAAGTCTRATGTGTAATTATTTGTATTTTGGAGTAAAAACCATTATTTTTATTAACTTTTTTCCCTGGCCCTATTCTCCCCCACCCTCAACACTTCTRGTACAGCCTTGAGTTCCTGAGATAGATACTGCAGCTTTCCCTGTCACACCTTTATTAAGGTAAAGTAGCTATTTGATTAGCAATACAATTAAAGCAAAACAGTTCTATCTAAAATSGTATCTTCTACTGTTTATGACAGAATAAGGAATTTCATTTTTAATTTATTCTATTTGTTGAAGAAGTCTGAACAACTCTATGCACATTCCTAGATCCAYGCATAACTTTTAAAGCCTGTATAAACAGTTTTGTATTTCCAGTTTAACCTTATCATTATGAAGGCCGACAAAACCACACCGGCTCCAAGCCCTGGTGCACATGCAGTCCACAGTAACGAGGACACAAGTGAGATTCGCTCTTTGATTTAGGATCGCTCATGGATTTCACCTGAGATTTGCTCTTTGCTTTAGGATCGCTCATGGATTTCACCTGGATTGTGCCAGTGTTTCAGGCTGTCCTTGCCAGGAGAGAACTGCTGCGTTAGTGGCTGACTGCGACGCTGTCTGCTCTTCCACCAGCAGAGATTACGGCYGTGTCAGAGGCCAGGGACCACGATGAAATCCCATGTATCCCACATGCTACAGTGCAGGGTGAGAGTCCAAGAGTATTGAGTATTTCTTACAGAGGTCAAAATGATCACAGTTCTGTAAAGCAACCTGATTGCACTAGAACACTATAAAATTAGAGCTGTAGAAATYGGTTTCATTAAAGCTTAACTCTTGTAAAAATGAGTAATTATGATTCAGCTAAAACGAGATGGACAAAACACCCAAGTGACAATGTTTATAGTAATGGCACCAAGGACTGTTTTAGAAAGGACTTTTCCCAGTTTGTTTCCAGACTTCTTTTGCTCCTTTAATGCTTTCTCTTTTCACACATTTCCAGTACCCTTGAATGCCTTGCTGTTGCGGTACCTGTAATAAAATTGAAGTGAGTTCAGCATTTACACAGAAACACTCTTACTCACAGACTGTGTAAATATTCACATCATTATAAAGTAAAGCTGCTGCTCCCATAACTCATATGCATAGGAACAAGTGGCAACACTCCTCCYATGTTTATAAAGCACTAAGGAATCTTCAGTTTACAACCTAAGTTCTTTCTATCCACTAACTTCACTTGCATTTATAAAAGTGTGTTTTAATATATGATAACTATATAACTGCAAATGTCAACTTATTACCCTCAAACCTCGATGAACTCGGTTCTTCAGGACTCCAAGAAACTCCCCGTGGCTGAGGCAATCATCTCCATCTAGATCGAAGATCTTGAAGATGGTATCCAGAACATTATCTGAGAGCTCCTGTCCTGTTGCCACCTTCACTGCCCTCTTGAACTCAGCTAGTAAAGACATAAGATTACATTGAYTGTAACTGAAAATACTGTAAATATACTGTAAATATAAATAACATGATTCTGTAATACTAAGTGTCTCCTGGCACCTTACCTACAGAGTCTGGAATGGGTGAACTGGTAAACTATATTAGAAAGCCTCAATCCAGATATACTTGAGCTTGCTTCATATTTCACAATATAATCTCGATTAACCTTTATTATTAGCTTTTAAACTTCCTTACTCATTTTCACACAACAGTGAAGTGATCATCAGCTTTTGCTGAAAACAGCCGCATGTTACAAAAGTTCTTACTTTTGGGTGACACACACCTGTGCCTACAGAGCAGAGCATTTGCCCTACTACCACCTCATAAAAACACAGCCCTTTGATGGTGAAGCTGTTTCCTCTCGCACAACTCCCTAAGAACAGTCTGTTCCTCAGGGAGCAGTGACTGCTCCACACTCAAACCCCTCAGAGATGCTGTAGAAACAGACACCACCAGACAGGTACTCAGAGCACCCATTACAGCGCAGGGTTGCAGGTACTCGCAGTTCTGCTTTTTAAAGAGGTGTTAAAGCAGGTTAACTCTTCCTAGATTTATGCAGGAAGAGTTTACRAGGACTTAAGGCAGAAATAGTTGTCATACCTCACTGGAGATCTACCTTCCAGCTTCCTGTCCTCCTCTTTTTATCCTATCATATGCACTGCAGTAACACCTAATATCCCCACTTTGGGGCTTATGGTATAAAGAATTTTGAGATCTGACTCAAATATAGATACAGAGACAGGCACGGGGGTTTAAATGATTATTATAGCACACAATCATAAATGTGACGCATTTTTGTAGCCATYACAGAAGTATGAATTTCAAGGAGGGACTGGAGCTTACTAGAGTAGAAATGCAGCTTATTACAAGAAACTGTCAAACTAAATCATGCATAGTGTATATGTATAAATAAATAAAGTGGCTCTATTTTCACAGACAAATGCTGTTCATCAACATTGGTATGATTAGTTCTGGGCACTTAGAGGAAAGASCACTCTTGGCATAGTTCTCATTATTGCTTCTTTGAGCAATTCATGTATRAAGGCCGTTGATTCATTCACATTTGGCTCACATATAATTAGGTGGAACATCCTTCTGTAAAAGGATATACCACAAATTGAAAGTATGATGAAATAAAGAGATGAAGAGTCTTAATTTTGCCTTTGGAAACATGTAAGCTGTTTAGCTCTTTAGACTAAATATAACTCCAAAGACAGCACTACAATTTTCTTGAATAGAGTAGGAAGGAAAAAGACCTTCTAAAATTGTGACGCATAYTAATTTTCAAATCAAAAAGGCTTATTTTATCAGAGAGAAAAGATAAACTGTGATTTTAGAACTAAAAAAATATGCATAGGAATAATGGGAAGTGCTAAAGGATTTAAAAAAATATTTACATGCGTGTGACTATACACATGTGCACACATGCAAAACAGCCAAAGAACTTCACAGAATCACAGAATATTTAAGGTTGGAAGGGACCTCTACAGATCATCTAGTCCAACCTTCCTGCTCAAGCAGGCACACCTAGAGCATGTGGCACAGGGTGGCATCCAGGCGGGTTTTGAAGACCTCCAGAGAAGGAGACTCCACAGCCTCCCTGGGCAGCCTCTTCCAGAGCTCTGGCACCCTCACAGTAAAGAAGTTCCTCCCCACTTGGAGATGGAACCTCCTGTGTTTCAGCTTATGCCCATTTCCCCTTGTCCTATCACTGGCCAACAATGAATGAACAAAGGAATCTTCATTCCTGAAGGAATGAACTTTGACGAAGGAATCGTTAAACGTATATCTACATTAACATTCTCAGACTGCTTGGTTAGTAATGAGTTTTCTTAATAAATGTTACTCAAGCAAATAGCAATTATTGGCTCCGTCCTCCTCTAGGTGACACTGCTTGAGTAGGGACTAGACGATCTCTAGAGGTCCCTTCCGGCCTCAACCATTGTGTGGTTCTGTGACTCTGTGGTCCTTGCCACTTTAGAAATGCGCTGCTTACGTGAAGGGGAGGTAAACACTCCTATAGCTCATGGGGACTATCATTTTGCCATTCCTTCATCCTTTTTTTTTCCTATTAATGTATCTTTATCCCCATGCAGAAGGAAGGTGCTGACAAACGAGGCAGAGGAGGGCCAGGAGGCCGGCCGGGCATGGGCAGATGCAACAGCAGAAGAGGGACACTGAGGGCACTGAGGACAACAGAAGGACGAGGYGGGGAACTTCAGGTGCTTAAGGGGCTTATGGAGAAGACAGAGGCAATGACAGAGGTAAGGGGCAGTCGGCACAAGCTGCTGCAACGTAATCTGATGGGAAACAGAGAAAAATCCTCACCAGGAGAACGGCAGAGCTCTAGAACAGGCTGCCCAGAGAGGCTGCGGAAACTAACTCTTACTGAAAGCTGGATTGAATGGTGGTGGAATTTACAGCATGGTAAAAACATGTGGTTTTGGCCTTCTTTGATTTAAATAATCTTTGTATTTCTTTCTCAAGAATACTGACTTATCCTCCTGTCTTCTTCTTCTTTTTAAGTGATAAGCCAGTCAAATATTTATGTCAATGTTTCATCAACTTTCCCCAGGAACTTTTTATGCTACTATTTCCAAAAGACTCATGAGAGCTGTATTTCAAGTACAGCAGGTAGGTAACATCCTCAGAACTACACCAAAAAGTAATTTGATATTGTTGCCTTGCTACTAATTTCTATCAGTGCTATCTGCAACTTATCTCCTCTAAATCTTTAAGACATGTTACAACATCTTTTTAAAAATAACTATGACTGTGTAATACTATACATGKAGATGACAGTATAGAGAAATATATAAAGTATATAAGGTTGCCAGAAACCTTTCAAAAGAACGATTTTATGCAGTTAGTGCCCTCAGAAAATTAAGTTATATTAGCAGAAAAAGTTTTATTATTTTCAACATGCATAAGAACAAGAATTCTTCCATGAAAACCTTCGGTCAGATTTCCTGATTTATAATTTGGTCTGATGCAAATGGTTTGGTGAATGAGGTATTATATAGCTCACTAGAACATACAAATTAACTCATTTGGGGAAATGTGCATCATTATTTTTCATCAAATAGAATTAATTTGGAAGAGTAGGCTCCCATATTTTTAAATTCCATAATGTTAATTTAGGTAAGTTATTCATATAAATTCTCTAACAGAAATATATTCTCTCTCAAAAATTCACATATGAAGCTGTGCAGCACTTACCCCGTTTAACAGGACGATTAGCTACAGTAAACATCTTCATGGCAATAGAAAAGTCTTCCAGGTTGTTTGTAAACTTGCAAAAAGTCTTGAATTCCTCCAAACTGATATTCTAGAGTGTTACAGAATTCAGATGATATATAGTGAATAATATATTAAAATCTTAGTAGATCTATTTCCTTAAAACTGGTTGAACAATACTTAGGTGTGAATCTGCTTATTCATCTTCAATGTTTGTATTTCTCAGTTGAGAATTTATTGCTCCTCTTGCATAAAATCACTGAAAAAGCTGCAATAATTGTCTTCAAAACTGATTACACTTTCATATATTCATATTCAAGTGAAAACTTAAAAAATGAGGAAGTAAAACAAAGTGTATTTAAGTACCAACCTCGCCCGCATGAATTCTGTCTTTCACATTTTGCCAGTAAATTTCATTGTTTTCCTCGTCCGTGAAATAGAGCAGCCACTCCGCAAAGTCTTCTTTCCTCATGACGTTCAGGCCCTTGGAAAACTGTATGAATTCCATTTCTTGCACTTCTGTTTGCAGATTTTCCATGAATCTAAGTGTAAGCAAAACATTACCCAGCAGTTGCTACCTGCACCACTTCGGCACTGCTCCTGCCTTAGCTACCAAGTGTAGCAGACCCTGACACCTAACCACAGATACGACCCACATCTGTGTTTAAAAGGTTGCTGATGTAATTTTACCTGTTGGTACCGATTTCTTTCCACTGCTGCATGTTGGTCATTATACCAGCAGGGTGCTCTCTAAGGCTACGTACACAGCTTGCTGCCCCTAAGATATTTTACAGATACACCTAGTATATAGTTTTTGCATAYGGAAGAAAAAATGTTTTAAGATGTGCAGATAAATAGAGAAACCTACTGAAGAGGCAGTATTGAAATGAATGAATGAAAAAGGAGACAAGAAGTAAAGGCCTGACACAAATTATGAAATTTTGTGTTAGTCAGAAAAGAAGGAAAAGAAAGAAAGAATGAAAATGCAGAGAAAGATGAGGGTCTAATAAACACAAGCAACATATGATATGGAAAAGATGCCTAGAAGCTTCAAGGACTGTATCTGCAAAGAGGGGCTGGCAGCCTGGTCTGCACTCACAAGAGACTGGATTAGAGAGGATTACAGCTGACATGGGCAGAGCTTGGGAGAGAGCAGAAAGTGTCTGCGAAGGTAACAAGAACTGCCTGAAAAAGGCACATGTATCAAGATTTTCAGGATTCTTCTTTTTGTTTTAGGGAGAAAAAAGAGAATAACACATGGAACAAGAAACACCTGCAGGCACAGTGCTACACTGTAAGCGGGGCTGTGGCTCTGAGGTTCCTCAGCTTGCTCAGCATGGCCATGATCTTCCGGGTCTTCTGGGCCTGATACAAACTTGGAGAGAGCAAAACACAAAAGCAAACAAAACCAAAAAAAAAGAAAAAAAACAAAAAACAAACAAAAAAAACCCCCAAACCCACAATGGGGTGCATGAGCTGTTTGACAATTCTTACCTTAAAAATAGCACAATGGAAAAATAAATGATACTTTAATGGCAGAAAAGGCTACACCGAGCCAGACGCCTGCCAGAGCGTCCACACTGTAGCTACAGCACCCGCCGCAGTGAGCTGCAGTGAGGCAGAGTCATTAGCTGGAGGGGAGGAGAGCCGAGCATCCCTGCAGCAGGAAGGAGGAGAGGCTCACGTGCCTGCCAGTGTTTGCCTGGCCTCCCTGGATTTGAATTCTTTCCCCTGAAATTAAGGCATTTTAGGCCATGCAGCTATCTTCAGCTCTTTAAKGAGATCATTTGGACAATGAGCAGCTGGAAGGTGTGTGCAGGCTGCAAGGGGCCGGCTGGATGCTGCKGCTGCCACAGGAGCTCTCTTGTTTTCTTCCATGGTAAGGAGGGCTGCCCCTCCAAGCACAGGGCTGAGCAGATGCTCACACAGGGCACGCAGGGAAAGGAGAGCCCCGCGGTGGAAGCGATGCTAAGGGGCAGGCTACAGGTCTGTGAATGCAACACCGAGGAGGGCTAYGGGGCCCTCTCTCATTCTATATGGAGATACACCTGCTCCAGCATGGCGGGTCTAGGGACTTCCCCAGTGCAGTCGGTCATTGCAGCACATTCCTCCATGGTCCCCCTTTGGACCTGGCTCCCTTCCARTCTCCCTACTCCTTCTCACAAGGGGATGAGATCCCAAAGGAGGCGCTTCCCGGGCAGCCGGGAAGGAGCCGCCGGGGCTTCCTGGCACCTTGCAAACCACCCTGGACGTCTCAGACGCAGCGGAAGGGCGGCAGGGCGCGGGGCGAGGTCTGTGGAGCCGCAGGCCCTGGCACGTGTGGCTCGTGCGTGGTGGGAAGTCGCGACGGGGCCGTGCCAACCACAGCTGCATCTTCAACTGCGGGCTAAGGAGGAACTGCTGCCGAAAGGGCGAGCGCCGCCAGAGACCGTGGGCACAGTGCGGTTCGCCCGCCCGCCGCGGCTCCCCCTTTCTCAGGCCTGGGCTCCGGCCTGTTCTCGGTGCCCCGAGGCAACGACACCGCATACTTCCCACTGCCTGATAACCACACATGCATCTTGCTTTACTTACTACCTGTTTAGGCACAAGAAGAATCCAGTGGGTATTCAGTTYATTTCACCTGGCAGGTTTGCTCCTGGCAAGGTGGAACGGGAAGATTTCATGCTGTACTAAATGCCACTTGGAGCAGAAGATGAATGGTGCAATTTAAAGTTCAGATGTGATAGTCTCCCCTAGTACAGGATCTACAGTATTATGAACCATCACATCAGCATTTTAGGTCAGTTTTATTCCCAGATCTCAGAGTTAAAAACCCTAATGAGTTTTTTTTTCCTTAGAGAAAGTTATTAAAAGTTATGTTTAATAACTTTCTAGTTAGAAAGTAAAGCTTGATATGTATATACCTATGACACTACTACGGATATTTGCTTTTCTACCTTCTGAATCACAATGTGATAAGTTTCTGCTGAAAATTCCTTGAAATTTCTTCAGATATTGGGCAAAACAAGCACAGAAATRAAACTCCTGCTCTCCTGAGGTCAAGAGGAGCGTGACCATGGAGCTGAAGTCCAGTGGTTCAGAACTAGAAACAGGGAAGAGGATTCTGACCTCAGAAGTGCTGTACAGCGCAACAATAATTACACTGCAATCCTCTAACACTGCAGTAGCTGACAATAAAAGCAAGCCCTAAGTTTACAAAAATAAAAAAAGAAAAAAGAAAAAGAAAAAAAAAGGAAAATTCTTCATTTTTTAAGATAGTAAAAAGGGARCAGAGAGCCCTTCAGCATAGCCTGCTTTATCCACCCTGTTTAAAACACCCACGTTGAAGGCTAACGGCCAAATCTGTTATCCTGTTACAATGGTCCCCAGAAACCTTACCAGGATTTAAGCCCTCAGTTTGCAACGTGCTTTGCAGACCTATAGAAAGAGGGAGTCTCTGAGGACTTCGTGGTGACTCACCTCTCCGAGAAGCAAAAATGGATTCAAAGCGGGGGCACCTCAGGAACACTGTTATTCTCCYGGGGTGAAGTGCCAGCTGTGCATGCTCCTTAGGGCACACAAAGCAGCCAAGGCAGCACCAAAGGAAAGGTTATAGACAAAGTTACCCCCCCACACACCTCTTCACCTGCACTAAAAATTTGTACAGAGCTTTAATATCCAAAAATGGAACTGGCCAGTGCCTGTGGCCCCGTGTGTAGGCAGAAGTAAGGGAAATACTGTGCTGGATGCATCACCCCGCAGCTGAGCTGAGCTGAGGGTCCTCTTTGGGCACGGGAGACCTGCTGAAGATCAGTCCTCTCTGCAGGAGAGGCCTCCTACAACCTCTCTGCCTCTTTGCAAACCTGACTTTACAAAGCAGAAAGTAGGAAATCTAACCCGGGCTTGACCATAAGCTTTACAGAACTTCACATACATTCAGTTTTGCAAGCTGCAAGCCAGCTCATGAATCTCACTGTTCTCAGAACTACAGCAAAAAAGCACTTTGATTTAATGTCCTCAGAATTTTCCAACTCCAACATAACAAAATAACTCACTTTCACTTATAAACATTTGGTAGAAACTAATCAAACTTTTACTGTGGTAGGTATGTAGGAAAGGAAGAAATGGTAACCTCRTTGCCATTTGGGAAATGTTCAAATTCAGCTGTGAGAGCAATATATAATCACAAAGCCAGATTTTGCTGCCATCTCTTCAAATTCCTCTCCGATACTGGCTACACGTGACATAATCTCTAAGTGCACTGGGGGGTTACGTACATATATATACTTGCATCTGTGTGTATGTATATGTACACACATATACTTGCATCTGTGTGTATGTATATGTACACACAGGCAAGTAAGGGAGCGATCATAAATCTTTTCTTTGCCAAGCACTTATAAATCTCTTGATATAAATCACCCCAAATGTATAAGCTGCTATGACCACAACAGCAGTGCTGCTGCTGCATTACTGCTTCACGGGGCTTCTTGGAAGGGACTCTGCATTTCTGCATCAGCCTAAATGTGGAAAAGCACCGAATTTCAGCACGAGCAGTGGGGGCCCTTCTCGGTCACTCTGGTTTCTTACAGGAAAGGCTTCAAATGAAATGGAACAAGAAATTTCAAAATACTGAAAGTGCAGAACAGGACAGGTTCAAAAGGCTCCTATGGTTATAGAAGTTAYGGTCATTTGAGCTAGAGCAGAAAATAGAGAGGAAACAATGAGAAAATAATATTTCTGGTGTATAATCCTATTAATGTACATGAAGTTTTGAAGCAAACAAATGAGGTAAGAAAATACTGTGAAAYAGATTGGAGAGATTTAGATTTTTTAACCATACCAGGAATAATCTTTGTAAACCATTTGCAAACCAGAAAAAAAAGTACAGCCATTACAGGGGGTTCTTTTTATACTTTTCTTTCCATACTCTGCACTTCTTTCTTTCATTCTTTTTTCCTTCCCTTCAAGTGGATTTGGAGAGATTTAAGCTTGTTTGAGGATAGGCAGAAAAAAAAAGCAGTTGTAAACTCTCTGGGGAGTAAATTACTGTCTCCTATTTATTTGGGATTAGATATGCTTAAATAAGATCAGTAAGGGACTTTTTCAGAAAAAAAAAAAAAAAGGTGTCTGTGAAGAAGCAACACTTGCTAATACTATTAAAACTAAATAGTTTTCTACCCAGAAACAAGAATACATATAGCATTGCTGAAATTCAAAGTACAACTGAAACTCTGTTGGAAGGAAAAAATGGTTTCTATGTCTAAAAAAACATGGACAAACTGTTGGAAAAAATAGTTTCTATTTCTCAAAAAAAACAGGGACAATGACCAGGCATGAAAGAAAGTCTGGGAGTCCAATGACTTTCTGGGCTTGTGACTGAGATTTGTGTTCTGCAGGATGGGGTTTGGTATCAGAGGCTGACCCTGGGGCTGCAGTGTAAAGCTCAGTGATGGGCCCAGTGGTAGTTGGCTGAAATAGAGAACTTTTTTGGGGTGTTCTGAGAAGGAAGCGTGAGCTGCTTGCAGCAGCTTGCACTGCTGCTGTTTGATGGCACCTGAACTCTTGCAGAGGAACAAGCCTCCCGTTGCGCTCGTCTCGGCAGCCCTTTACCAGTGATGCCTGTCAATCTACTCCAGAATAATTCCAATGAACACCAGGGAAAGCAGCTGCTGCTTCCCAAGTTCCRAATCACCATTCATCATGCAGGTGATTCACATCCCGCATTTGGGACAACGCATCTGGCTAGAAATTGTGCAGCACTTTTGAGCTGAACATGTGTTCCCTGAATCAAGATTACGACGCTAAGCTTTAAGACCTCTGAAGTCTCCTTGTTCCTACAAGAAAGGAGTGGGGTGGTGCTTCTCTGACTGTTACTACAGCTTTGAAGCAGGTAACACCTGGGTGAAGCTGCAGGAAGAGGCAGGGATCCTGTCATGAGATGCCTGCTGCCCAACAGGGACAGGACAGGATGTGGGAACCATCTGGGATGACTTCCAAGATCCACAGGCCAGGCAGAGGTGGCCGGGGCACTATGTGCTTGTTCATTTTCCCTCTCTCCAGCCAATGTGTCACCTGCCTTGGGGCTGTGGGGAGGAGGCAGGAGAGCTGCCTTAGAGCAGCCCTGMACTGCCTGAAGATGGTCTCGGTCACCTCTGTGCCATCAGAACATAAAGAAGGCAGCAAAGGGCAAACTGCTTGCTCTGCTATATTGTTCCTCTGGTATTTTTTAAGTCACTGGACAGTGGGTTAAAGGAGTCATCCATCATGGGTGTATGTGAAGATGCAGATGGTTACACATTCACAAAAGGATAGTTTAAAGTCGGCCAGAGAAACTGAAAAGGGAGCATGAGTAAAATGTATGTAAGTAATGGGGTGAGAACATTAGTCTCTGCTTTCTGAATTCCCTTATATGTACAATGAATTTCCACAAAGAAAGCATTCCTGGGATTTTTTTTTTTTTTTTTTTTAAGTTTTAAGGACTCTACAGCCCGGTGCTATCTGTATATTTAAGTAATGTGACAAGTTTTAGTGTGTCCTACTCAAATTTAATCATCCCTACTTTCTAGTAGGTACAACGCTGATCAATGAGAGGCTTTCTAAGCAAGAACTTGGAAAATGATAAAAGCATTTACCATCATTACTTTCTGCTTTTGACAGTGATCTATGTCTGTACAGCTCATCAATCATCTCTTGTAAAAACAGCGTGGCACTTTGATCAAACAGCCAACAATAGCTCCCCGTGTAAGGGAAAATGTTATGAGCGGCCCTCAGACACAAATCACATTTTCTCTGAACAATAGGAACCCAGCAATGATGTGCTTGATTTACTAGCAAATAAAAATCACGTGAAAAGTGGTATCTTCACGCAGGTTAAAAAGACACTGATCCTTTCATTCACCTTTCTGTGTGTTAAACAAACTTGGYTGTCAGGTTGCCACTGACATGGAGGGTATTTGCGGTGATAAAGAGGCACATTCCAACTCCATGAAAAATAACTGCCACTGGTGAAAAATTACCTGCATTAAACCTTATCCCACAAAATTCAAGAGCAAGATGTGGGAGTTTGATTTTGATTACAGGCCTCTATCTGTGTGGTAGGCAAAGGTCTTTAACCTGCATGTTCACAATGTATTAGGTACCTAGTTTTATCAATGTCAGGCCTCATCAGGTCAATGTGGGATTTTATCTACAACCCGAGGCATTCCAGTTTACACTACAGATGCAAACACAACCTTTTACTGGTGCTCTCTGTCTTTTGTTTCACTTAGAAGACCTATGGTATAGAGGAGAGAGCTGTATAGGCATCTTAAAAGTATTTTACTCATTTAGTTTTCTCCTGAGTCGAGGTCTTCAGAAGAGAAAGGCTGTTTATTTGAAGACTGGYGTGTGCCTGAGCCGGTGGAGTGGAATGCTCCATAGTGTCAGGAAAATTGTCACTCTTCCTTTTCTTACTACGGCTTTGCCAAAACCTCTACTGATGGCAGCAATATCCATTTTTAAGAGAGCTGACACAGATTCCCCTGCTTCTCAATATAAACTGAAATGCACATATTATCCTGATTTATTTTCACAGATCACAAACACCTGATTATTTTTGTAGAAAACTTATTATTTTTGTAGGATCTTCTCTTGATGTTGAGTTACAAGATGGGTGTCAAGATACATGCAAGTATTTGGCACTTAACTGCCATTTATCTCAATGAAAGAGTGTGCATTTGGGCTCCCAGGTTCACATGGGAAGATGTGGTATCCTGAGCCGAATGACCCTATATGAGACTTAGAGTTTTTCATTAACTTCTGATTTTACACAGCTTACAGTGAGATGGGTCAGTACGAAAAGGACAGCCGGCTGCGTCAGGGAGCACCGCTCCCTGAGGGCTGCCCTGGCTCAGCTGGATGCAGCGTTTACCTTCCCACTTAATCCAAGTGCTGAGTGCCATGAAGTACCTGCACAGTGTCCTTGCAAAGGCAGTTCAAAGCATAAAGGAAAGGCCTGGCTGAAGCCTGCACAGAAGCTGCAATTTGAAGGGGGAAGTTGCCCTTCCCGCCACAAGAGCCAGGGGAGGCAGCAGGGTGCAGGGCTCACAAGTTTTTTGTTGATCAGCAGCCTCAGCTGACTCATGGATCTGAAAAAGTACCTGAAAAACTCCGAATAGCGAAGCTTCTCCTTTCCTTCTCGGCCAAAGAAATGCACCAGCAGCATGGTGTTAACATCGGAGCCCTCCGATTCTGCTCCCTACAACATGGAGAGCAATGATGAATTATCATGCCTTGAACGATTATTGCTATCTTTTCAACACAGATCTCCAAGAACTTTGAACCAGAATTTTACAAGACATCACTGTAATTTAATTACCATTCCCAAATTCGGTGCAAACAAATGTGAGTTGAGTAATTCCTCCACACGAATGGGAAGCAATGCATTATATGTTCTGCTTCCAACACATCCTATACAAGGACTGAATATAATTATAACACCCTTTTGTCTCTTTTATTAGAACTTAAAAGGTTGCTCATTATATTTTTAAAAGTTTGACACTTAACTGAATACTAATGTTGAAAAGTCATCATCTTTGTAAAAACGTGTTTTAATGACATCTTTCAGATTTGTTCTAGTCATTAGTTTGTTCTGTAACTACATTCATAGGTACACAGAAAAAAAAMCAGCAAAACATATTCCCAGTGTTCTACCATAATATGTTTCATATGGCTCCTTTCCAAATTTCTTGATTTTTCCATACTTTATTTAATCTGATAAAAAGTTCTGCAGAAAAAGGATGCACATAATTTCAACTCAGCAATTCCTATTAGCATCTTCAACAAGCCTAAAGCCACACATAATGCTGGGTACCTGTTTTGTTCTTCTTTCAGCACTAGCATAGTGGCATTTCTTTGAACGCAACAAAACACTAAGAAACATGAAGAGAGGGKTTTTTTTTGTAAGTCTGGAGGGATTTCAACAAACTCTTCTTATGACATCTCAATAGCCTCTGTGTCTTTTATCTGGCTGAAGAGCTAAGATGAAAGACAAGAGTCTATTCATAAGATTTAATACTAATGGTTATTTAGCTTTCAGTATCATCAGTAACAAGTCCCATTAGTCCCCTGTGTGTTTCATGCTTACTGCATATGTGACACAATATTTTATCATTAAAGAGGTAACATTCCTTGTTTCTGCTGCAAGTCACAATTCACTAAATGCCAGTGACACAAAGTAAGTATGAACGAACCCAGAAAAGACCTTGCAAGCCCTATGTAAATGGCACTTACTGAACTTTAACGTTTAATGCAGGCCAAGAATATTTTAATACCCCCAAGGTCCCTGCTTCTCAGGTTGAAACAGTTGACACTGTGAAGACGACTGATACATAAAGACTCCTGTATGCTTATTCGAAAGTCACACCCAAACTATTCATGACAGAAGGCAAAGTTTCGAATGAAGAAACAAAGGAGAATCAACACATTTCTCACTAGAGCAGATTTCTCATCTGCTTTTTGTGCTTTTGGTTTACATATTTAAATGCAGCTTGAAAAATGCAGAAATAAAAAAAAATCAAAGTAACTTTTAGAACTGAACTCCTGATTACTTGATTTAATGCTTCCAGTAACTCATATTTAACTATGCCTCCCTATCAAACTAGGCTSATTGCTTTGAGAGCATGCTGAAAGTCAAAGTTTAAATAATTTTAAAAAACAGGTCTGCAACAGAAAAAGCTTTTCCATTTATTCTGTTTTTTTGTAGCAAACTAGAAGACATACAATCAGTGCCTATCTCATCTTATCTAAGATGACAAAGCCTAGCCCTGGATTTATAACAAATATGCACCTACTTGTTGGCTACCCTCTTTATCAGTCAAAATTCCAATGTGGAACTGGCAGATGTCCAAGCCCTGTGTTAGAGTTGAATGTATTTTAAAACTACAAAACAGTACATTTCTTTAAAACAGAATATGCAATCGGAAACCAGAGAGACTACAGCTTGAGGGTAAAATTAAAAAAAAAAAGCTTTCACTAGGGCTAATGCTATTAAATTAAAGTACATGTTAGTACATAATTCCTTTTTGTCCACAGAATCATTAGGAGCTTTTGCTGCTGAAGTGTATAAATTAGTACCAACATGACAAATCTTTGTTAGGAGATAATGAGAGCTCTATTAATATTTCCAACACCTCACCCTCCTGAGCCTGGTGAAAGAATAACTTACACTTGGAATGTCTCTCTTGGCAATGGGAGGGAAGGGGTAACCTAATCTCATAGCTGTAAAAAAGACCAGACTGGAGCTTTCACGGAGCCATCACCTACATTCAGTGAGATTTTGTGCTCTGCTGTGTCTGGTGGCCTTGGCCCTTGCAGGAGCCCACAGCCCCTTTCTGAGCTTACAGAGAGGCTTCTCTAGAGTAGCGTTAACTTCAGGTACACTCTTCAAATGCACCACGAACTGCTAAATTATGCAGTTCTTCCATTTTAAACAGCATCAGGTAACACATTTAGTTCTTTGTTAGATTACCCAGACTGGCAGAGCAGAAGGTGCACGCRGCAAACGCTGAGGCACAGCTCAGCCCTAACACTGCAGCTCTCCTCTGGGCTCCTGGCACTGAGGACCTGATACTGCAGCAAGTAGCAGCAAGTGCCATTGAGAAGAAACCTAGCACACAGTGAGATGGCTTTTCAGAAAAATGCCCCAACCCATTTTCAAAACACATCTGAACTGTTAATAGATTGACTGTCTCTAGGCTCTTGCCACCTTTCACTGCAGAATTCACTAGAGGCATGACTGGAAGTTATTAAAATCTGTAATATGTTCCTTGTTCTCTTACTTGCTTCCTGGAAGATAATGTTCACTGTGCAATGTCCTGTTTTGGTGGAACATTTTAAAATAACACACATTTTAGTTTTAATTCTTTTGGTTAAGACAGGGAATAACCAAACGAAGGACTGGGAAAAAACAGAGTCAAAGAGAAAAATATTTTAGCTTCTATCTGCTAACTCCTCCTTCTCTGGAGGTCTTCAAAACCCGCCTGGATGCCGCCCTGTGCCACATGCTSTAGGTGYGCCTGCTTGAGCAGGAAGGTTGGACTAGATGATCTCTAGAGGTCCCTTCCAACCTTGAATATTCTGTGATTCTGTGAACAACAACCTGAATCTTTCTAAAGTTAAGACCAAATCTTTTCTTTTTTWAAAAAGAGGCCTCTTCTCTGAAATGTTACTTGTTTTTCATCTGCTAGGCCAGGTTTCTAGCCCTGGAGGCAGCCTAGCCTTCAGTTTAGAAAGTTCAGCCTCTCAAGCACTATTTGAAAGAATGAAGACTGAATTTGAAGTCTCTAAAATGTAGGGCTATATGACAAAATTTAGCTCTTGGAAGCAGTTTCTGAATAAGTGGACAGACAAACCAGTGACACGGGGAGGCGCAGAGCTCCAGCACCGGTACTTTGGCAAAGCGCAGACAGCTTGAAGGGCGCCCCAGAACGAACAGCATAAAATTCGATGCTGTATCGACTTTATACCTGTGAATCTGTACCAATATTTTAATGCAATGGAAAGCACTTTCTCACTAGGTAGACTCTAAGAACATATCARATCTGGTACAGATAGGCTAGGCTGTGTATATATTTTTTTTCCATAGAGGGTGTAAGAGACAATACCTGAGATCTGATGAACACTTCTCCAAACGATAAAATAATCGATATTGAGCATTCAGCAGTATCTGGCATKGCCACTTTCTGAAGATTAATTGTTCTCTAGTGACAGCTAATGTCATGGAGTTGACAGGTTGCGCTGTTACTGCCTTTACCAAAGCAGGAAACACAGCTTGGTTCTTCTCACACTAACATCCTTCCCGCTTCCAGCACCTCACCCAGAGTTCGGCATCAATCCAACCGAACAAAAGAAAGGCTAAAAGCTTATCTGGGAGCAGATGCTTGGGGAGCTGCTCTATGACAGGAACAGGAGCAGGTTCACACTATGATAGGAACAGGAGCAGGTTCACACTGTCTTTGCTGCGTGCAGGCTGAGGGGCCCAAAGGCCACGGTGCCGAGCACAGGGCGCTGCAGTGCCGAGCACGGGGTGGCCCGGCCACCACACTGCTCCTAGCGGGGCAAGCGGCGCCCACACGCGCCTCGGCACGGCCCTTCCCAAAACCTCATGTGTTATTTTACAAATAGTTATTTCCCTATGAAATCGAGAACTCATAACTAGGAACCCCTGGGGAGATACTGTGCTCCAGGCAGTACACTCTCCYGATAAATGTCAATTTGGCCTCCAAGGCGAACCAACAGCTTTCTCAGCCTGCTTAAATCTCTGCTCTCTAGGCTGAATCAGCCTCTAGGTTGACTGTGACCAACTCCTCCCTCTCACCGTGAGCTGTGTTCCCCAGCACGCCACATCTGGCTGCCTTCTGAAGTTCCTAACAGCCCGAATGCAGGTACTTACTCATGGGCAGCATTTCCAGTTTATTCCTATTAATTTTATAACCAAACGCATTATTTAGACTTGAGAGATTAGGGATAGATTTTACCACCTAGAATCAAGGACTAGAGCAGGGGATGCAGGGCCAGACTGTGCATCCCCCTGGGCCCGCCACAAGGCCGCACTGATACCCAGCCCCTGCAGGTAGGCCACGGAAGGGGCCTCACATTAGGCTAAGCAGCAAAGACTAAAGGGGTTAAACTTTGTCTTACGCATCTGCAAAATGGAAAGTGACAGCAGCCACAGTAGGGCTCCAGATACACTCTCAAGAGAGGCAAATTTCCAGATGTACTCACAGATGAGGTACAGAGAAAGGTGTCAGAAAGATGTTTCTTTGTGTCTTTCGAGGCTACAACATCATCAGAGCACTTGGAAAAGCAAAATCCTTTCCTCATCTGTGAGGTAAAACCACAGCCCAGCTGACTTTTAACAGTGTTAATGTCTTCAGCTGCTCCGGAGCCTTGGTCCTTTATGGGGTTTACCTGCCTGAAGAGCTTCCTTCAAAGCATGCAGGAAGAGAGCAATGCTTCTTCATTTAACATATTTGAAAACGTTTTAGCAGAACCCAGTGTTAACCCGCTGATACAAATCATACGTGTTTGTGTTGGAGAAGACAGGTCAGAGAAATGTGCCCAACACCCAATGTGAAAGGTGACAAGATTTATGACACGGCTTTAGGGGAATATTCACCTTCGTGTTGGACCAGACTCTTGGAAAATTCTATGTGCTGCAGAGCTTTCCTCCCTTCCGTTTAGGTAGCCCTTGGCTATTCTGGGCCCAGGGCACGGCAAAGTTTGCAGCAACAGATACAAAGCTTTCTATTTATTAGAAGCGCAGCACAGGCGGACAGGTTAAGGTGTCCCACACAGTCCATGTGGCTGAGAAGACACAACACAATGCTAAAATATCTGAAGGCTGAACGTGCAAGTATRAAAGGTGTAAGTGGTGACAAATGTATGTAGGACTGATGCCATTCAGTAACCTGAGATAAGTTCCCCAAGTCCCACCAAGGAGAGCAGCTAAAACAACTGGTGCATTTTCAATAGGAAAATATCCATGGATGTGCTTAAAAGCACTTTGTAGTCAGACTGAATTTTAGCTTAAAAGCTTCTGTTTAGAAGAGGCTAAAGCTATGTCCCCAAGTACTAGTTAAATGTTTTGCAAAACATGCAAATGAGATACTTTGTATGAATATGTGCTCATTATGGGATTCAGAACCATATACTTAATCATTTGGAAACAGACATAGCACATAATATTTCCCAACATGAATTCCAGGTTAAGAACAAATATAGAACTTGAGAGTCATTCCTTTCCTAACAGTAAAGAAAATTAATTTCTAACTTTAGCCATTACACCAATGAGAGGTACTGAAGCTGCTTGTTAACTCATTAACCTAAATTGAGGGGCCCAGGAGAAAAGTCCCTGGTCAAAAGGGCGGCCTCTCCTCTAGGCACCCGCACAGGCCAGGGCTGCCCATTAAGAATGGAGGGGTGTGAAGGACAGGAAGGAAGGAGGACTGGGAAGTGGGCAACCCCTTTCTGAAGATAGCCCAGCTTTCAAAGAACACCGCCGTATTTTTATGTTTTCACTTTTTACCTGCTTTGCTTGAAAGCCATRCTGTAACTGCTGCAAGTGCTCAAAATTAAAGGAAGAAAAACCATATGCATTGCCACTGCAATGTATACAGTCAGATTTACTGCCTATACAGAACTTTTGTGAAAGACAGACATAGGTGTAAAGTAAATAGTGAAAAAAAGAAGAAAAAAATAATTTGGACTTTGCTCAATACGATTATAGAGAAYAGAAGTATTTCAAGACAGCTGAATTATTCCTGAATTTAATTCATTTTTGAATAACTATTTCCGTTTGTAATCTGCTAATAATTGTATTAAATAATATTCTCATTAAAACAATTTCAGATTTTTTTTTTTTTCAGTTAAGATGAAACTTAAAGCAAGACAAAACCAAAATGGGCGCATTCCAGGTTCAGGTATTTAATTAGCTCCCAATAAGCTTATGTGTTTATGGCTAAATCTGTCCGGCTGTATCAAAGTTTCTCTGGAAATCTTACACCACAGGGTGCATTCATGCAGAATAAGGATCCTTTTCCTTTCACTGCTGGGGCAGTTCAGGCTCAACTGAAACTCGTTTTGAAGAGCAGACAACCCTATTAATCCCAGCTACTTTAATCTGGTGATTGATGAAAAGATTCAAAAAAAGGAAAAAAAAGAGACGGCTGTTACTCAGTCAAACGCATTTCAACAGATCTCTGTCTGGACAGCAAGCAAGCCAATACCTTCATGCAACAAAAGACAATTTTTGTATACGCCCAGGAGACATCAAAGGTGCTAGCAGTGCTGCCACTGCCACTGCTGCCCCCCAGGCTGGTGACAAACTGGAGAGCAAGAGCTGGGCCTAGTCTTTGCAGGCGCTGCTGCTGCATGGTGGGTTTATAAACTGTGCCTAAGTTTGCTATTGAATGCTTCCACCATCAGCAGTTTCCTTTTGCCCGATTATCAATTTTCAGTGTAAGTCTGGAAGCAAATTTGTGGTGAGAAAAATATCCTTGCAGACCGTTGTCCAATTTGAGCACGCAACGGAAGCTGTGCTGCTGCTGCAGCCAACCTGAATGGGAGTCATGCATGGAGTGAATCCAATTTTTCCCCTGCTCCCTGATTTATCAGCATTTTCAGCATGCTGAGGGCCCCCTTTCCATTTCCCAGGCTCCATGCTGTGGACTAGCTTATTGCTCTGTTGGGCAGAGCCGGGAGGAGAAGCGAGAGCTGGCAGAGGCTGCCTGAAGGACAGGGCAGGCTGCACTGGTTGCACTTGGGCAGAAGCAGCCACAAGAGAGAAGGATAAATCCTGCTGCTRTCATCACGGAGGCACATCTGCCACTCGCTGTGCTCTGCAAGTCAGGAGCTTTGGATGCAACTGTAATTTGTGATCTGTGGTTCCTCCTTCTTCAGGTCTGGATTTAAGTCCTTTCCTTTCAGAAGTGAGCCCGGCATTTGCCACCTCACAAACAGTACTTACACTGCAAACCCACCCMAACGGGGCTGATACCGATGGTAGCAGCTACTGCATTGGTACCACGGGCTTATGAAAGTTTAACATATTGGTTTTTAATTGGAAAGTTGTCTTTTCTTATGTGGTAACACAGTATTCCTCCTGAGCTTTTCATAAATAAGAGAGTATTTTTTTTTGAAATAGAGATATGCAGAAAGCAAACAATGAAGCTACTAAAAAGTAATAAAAGAAATTAATTGCACATATTTCATCAGGAGATTCACAAGTGAAGAACATTTTTCTTCTCCTGTTAAAAAGCAGAGTTGACAAATCAGGCACTTTCATTTAATTGAAGCACTAACACTTAAATATCCATCTAAACGCTCTGAAAAAAATAACAAAGTTCACAGAATGTATGACAGTGTTTTTCRAAAGTAAATGCTAAGTGCATGACTGTTCCATACCTGGAATACTGTCTCACTTCCATCTGTTTTCAAATCATCTTGCTTCCCGATGATTCTCTGCAGCTGCATTTGTTTCAGCATGACAAAACACAAGAAAATTATAAGTTTGCATTTGCAAGAGTCTCCTTTTTCAGAAACTTGCATTAATTTCACTTTTTCTCAATTAATACCTCGATATGTATTTGCAGGCTTTTCTAGTTATGACAAAGTATTTGCATACTTCAGGATATTCTGCTATTTGAAGCCCACTTTTTGCTAGGGCAGCCTTATCTTGCGTGGTTATTTCAGCTGTGCACAGCATATAAAACAGGCTCTCTACTGGCTACCCAATGTTCATTCTATTTTTAGAACAGATCCTCTTCTATTAGATTTTCTTCTTAGCGTTCAATGCATAATGTTTTGAAATTCAGGGATATTTTATCTAGGAACATTAGAGGAATAACATGGTTATTCTGTGATTTTCACACTGTCCTCCTTGACACCTTTACCTGAATCTGTAAAACACAAGACCTGCTCAGCATGAAAAATACCCCTGTTTAAACCTAGTACTATATAATTTAAAAAAAAAAAGTTATTTAATAAAGCAACTAAACATATTTTTAGAACTGTCATGAGGTGGAATATTCCCTCCAGTGCACAAATAAAACAATCTTGAAAAAGATAGCTAACAAGATTTTAAGAAGTATTGAAATGACTCAGATATTTAAAGATCAATTTCCACTCTCCAAAATAAGGTTGTGAAGAAATATTGCACTGATTTTTAGAGAGTGCATTGATTTTTAGTTCATTATGAGCACCTTAGGTATATCTTTCTGAAACACTGCATGCTTCTTGATGACTCTATTTTAGCTTGAGAAATCAGCACTGGCAAAAGGATGAGTAATTGACCATAGCATAAGGCRTACCTACCTTTCACAGACATTTCTCTGACTCCTCAAATGGACAGCAAAAATGAAAGAACATGGGACTTATTATATTTTAGGTACAGACATGGACCTAAACACAATGTTCTGGATTTGAAAGCTTTAGGAAAGAGGCTTTTAAAGCTCAGGGTTTGTGAAGCTGCTGGTTCGTTCCTCAAACATTTGGGACTCATTTCTCACCCTCTCTATGGGGAAAAAAATTCCATGGCCAAATTCATACAGATATTTTTTTTCTCCCCAAATCTTTCCTTAGGTCTTCTTTTTTTGTCACATTGTTAAGAAAAACAATATGGGCTTTTAAGTAGTGGGTAGGAAAGAACTGTTTACTATTCCTGTTGCCACAGGTGTTCCCTCAGCTTTCACAGTCAAACTGACCAGCCCTCTTTTAATTTCTTTTTTTTTTCTAAACAACAACAACAAGTAGTCTTAGTCTTTCAGTTCTCCATATCTTTTTATTTTTCTTTTATTTTTTTCTGTCAGGGCATGCTATTTAAAAAGTATTTATCCAAAATAAGTCAAAATCTGCCACATGATAATTAAACAGTACTAGTACTCACCTGGAAAATCCATCTTTTACTCACACATTAAGAAATACAGCTGCAAATATTTTCCAAACACTTTTTTTCTTATTGAAAAGACAGAATATGATTTTCCTCTTGGATTTTATTTTTAAAGGACCCTTTATAAAATCTGTAGAGAATATTAAAGAACACACACAGAGTATAATTTTTCTTCTATGTGTTCTGGAAGATTTAACTTATTGGTTTCTTAGGCTGCATGTAAACCCTTATGATTCTTGAAACTGCTCCTTGGGAAAAAAATGATGATAATTTCCAGCAGTTGGAATATGTTTTTCCAGCACAATGAAGCAACTGCTCATGGGGGGATWCGAATTCTGCCCTGCAGCAAATGAGTCCAGTATTTAACAGCTCCATGATTCCTGTCATCACCTTGCAGCATTTATCTGTGTTTAATATTTAGATCTCTTTATCACTGCAATACACAAATGGCTAATTGAAAGAGAATGAGGTATTTTACATGTAGCTACCTAATCGATGCCTCTCTAATAAAGCAGCATGGTAAACAGCAGTCTTCTTTGAAGGATACCAGAGCTGGTAGAAAGGAAATGCCTTAGGAAGGGAAAAAAAAAAAGGGTTTTCATCTTTCAGTTGTTCCCAGGAACCCAGAGCTCATGGGGGCTGTAGGAGTCTATGGGTGCTCTGCCCTCCGGAGCTGCTCCCCAGAGCTCGAGAGCTCCTGCCATCGGTCTCAAAGAAACCTCTACAACTGCTTTTTCTTGTGGTATCTGCTGTATCACTGTACAAAGACAGTCTATTAACAGAGATAAAATCAAATAAGTTTTTTTAAGTGAGATCAGAGCTAACCTATCTCCAATCCCAACAGTTTGGTGCAGYTGTTAGTTTTCTTTAGGAGCCTTTCATCAGGACAGAGGTAGGGGAATTCCTTGCTTGTTGGGGATTTTTGTACCTTTGCTAGCCTTACCCTTGACGGCAGGCTCAATGTGCAGGTGTTGTTATGAGCTCTAGTGTCATCAAGGGATGTCTGGAAACTCCCCTTGCCAAGCTGCAAGTCTTGGAAGCGCCGCGTTCACCGGAGCATCTTCCTGCCCTCACAGAGATGCAGATAAGGAGCCTCTGAGGAAGACCTCYCTGCAGCCTGGCAGCAATGCTTACAGGTAACATCTGCATGGGCAGCCTCTACCAAGTCTGCTTCATTCTGGAGCTGTAAACAAGAAATCACTGTGCATGTCCACCTCAAAACAGAGGTTGTTGGGATTCCGGACCCTGACACTGAAATGAGGTGTGATGTTGCTTGTATTTTGGATATTTACCATTGGATGGAGGAGAAAGTGTGTTAGACTTAGCTTTGCTGGACAGTAAAAAGGCCCTGCTGAAGCAGGGTAGGCAGGAAGCTTTGCTGAAGGGTATCTCAAGTTTTAYGGCAAGACATTCTTCTTTAAAGTCTTTTTCACAAACAGATAGTTAAGGACTAGACACTAAGTTATGAAATAATTTCCAGCATTTGTTCTGAGCAAGGACAAGAGGAAGCCTGCTAGGCCAAGACATTCCTGCTGGATTTYATTAAGCACACGCTCATCTCCCAAGTGGTGGGAAAAACGTCTCCCAGATGATCTGGAATCAGGTAAAATTACGCAATTACATGGAGCTGGGTCAAGACAACAATGAATATTTTCGCTTTCTTTCACAACATTAGAGAAACTGCACAGAGTGTGATCAATCTTCCTGAAAAATCAACTCAAAATAGCCGCATTCCAAGGTATCTTCCAAAACACAGCCTCCTAGTCATTAATTGAAAGAGAGGAGACAACACAAGAGCTGGCTCGGCCTGCGCCACCCTGTAGAACCCAGCACCGTGCCGTGGCGAGACGTCCCTGTGGGCAGCGCTCCGGAGCAGACAGGACAAAGGAGATCCGGAGACGCCACGAGATGGATGAGGGCTCCGCCAGGGCAGTGACTGATGCACTGGCTGCACGGAAACCTCCTGCGAGGAGCCACCCAAGCGCCACCCAACCCCACCTCACCGAGACCTAGGGAAACACGCRCAGCGTTTCTGCCACACTGCCCACTCCGAAAGCTTCACATTTCAAGATCAAGTGGTGCTTTGAAACAGTCAGCTATCATAAAAAGTCCTCTCATGACTTCCTCAACACCTGTGAGGCTTACTTGAATTTAATATATCTCTCTTGAGTTGAGATTGCAAATTATAAGTTCTTTTTTAATAACCTTTTTAACTACTCTATTTTAGTTAATGCAAAGGACATGCGAAGAAAGTAATTATCTAAGTACAATAATTTTCTTTTAATTTGATTGCTTCTACAGGAATCACTTTTTTTTTTTTTTAAGATTTGTATTTTTTCCTCTACTTGTTATGACCTGCTGTTATTATTGGTTAATTGAAATGGGCAGGGGATATTAATTATGTGAATTACTCTAGGCCTCCCACAGGCAGTTGTACTACGTATCTGCAAGATTCTCCTTATTTGTTTTACTGACACAGAACTTAAGGGAAGTACTGCAAAAAAATGGCATTTTTGATGCTGTGGCATCAAACACTTCCACCTGCTCTTTACACATGGACTTATTCTCTTCCTGCCATACTATTTTTCAGATGAACTATATGGCTGTACCACATACTGCAATGATGAGGGTACTTGTTCTACTCTAATAACAATTCACTTCAGAGGCAACAATTCAGAGGTTAAAAAAAGAAAGTAACAGCTGTATCTGATTTCTTTTTAATCAGCAGAATAATTAATACTTTAATAGAGCAAATCTGGAGTGTACTTCATCTTGCAGCTCAATTAGAGGCTTCTGGGAATACTGTCTTGGGAAATGGTCTAATTTCAAGCACTGTTTTCAATAGGTATTACTAAAACGGAAAGCAATTTAAAAATATTTTAAAATACATTTGAGTATGAGTCATCACCTGTAATCTTGCTAAGATACAATGCCCTGGAAAAAAAAGGACTATCAGTGCAAAAGACATCCTAACAACTACTCTCTGATTAATTCAGAGCTTAAAGCTACACTAATCTTTGGTATTTCTCAGACAGGTTATTTTTTTTTTATAAAGCTTGAGATTCTCCTGGTTGTCTAAAGCTGCTACATTAAGGACATTCTTTAACATAACCTAGTGACAGAAAGGAATCTGCACTATATGAGGGTGATCATTTTAGCTTCCTATAAAATCCTTCCCCTACTCACTTCTTATAYGAGTGAATGATATGGATGAAGAGGGGAATCTATTAAAAATGTTTGTTAATTTTTTACTTTCTACTTTTGACTTGAAATATTTGGTAAATTGTTTCCTGCTAAACGTTAGCAYGTTTTATAAGCTGTATTATTACTCCTACTCCACTCTAGACCTTCAAAGTAGGATTCCCTTTCATTTCTGGAAAATCTGTCTCTCTTCCCTGTATTTTATACAAAATACGAGAAAAATACAATTCTTCCTTAAACTACAGATTAGTATTAACCCAGTGGAATAGCAAAACAAAACAACAACAAAACCCTAATAAGCTAATAAAAATTAGAGATGGTGTAAGTTTACAAAATATTTCAGAATATTTAGAAAATGAAAGACTATTTTGAATAGTTACTTAAATTAGGTCAAGGAATTAAGAGAAGAATTCTTCTCCAGAATAGATTTTCAGCTGCAAATCAAAAGCAACATTTATAAAAGATGATTCAAGATAACGATTCCTATAGCAATGCTTTGTTAGGCACTTCTTTCCTATCAAGCGTTTTAGGAAGAATGTCCATCCCACAGATTGGATGGATATTGTTAAATGTGGATACTATCTGAACACTTTATAAATTAATATGCACATACCTTAAAAAATTCTTTCTTCTCAACTTGTTCATTGCCATCTACATCCAACATTTTAAAAGCAATCTTAAATCCAGTCTGTGGTTCTGCAATAAATGGCAAAAACACTTTACTGTGGGTGCACACGCACAAACACCCTAGCACATAAATATTTAGTATAAAAGGAACAGGGCCTACAGATTCAGTTCTCCACGGTTACGCACCTCGTACTTGMAGTAAACCATATATTTTGGTACCTGGATGTTGTTACCCAAGTAGCATACATAATTATAAGAAAATATTTTAAAACACTTTTTTACTACTTCTTAAAAGGATATTTAATGCAAAGGCAAAGTGGGAGAAGTCAGCAGTGCAAGAGATGGATGTAAATTTGATCTCAACTACTGTGAACACGTTGCCTGTGTTACTGTCCTTATATTCCCTGCAGATTTCTCCATCTCTGCCTACTTCTGAAGTCTGCCTCAGGTAGATTAGAGCTACATTTCAGCTGAGAAAACTGAAAAGTGCCTTGAAAAGACATTTTGTTTTTCCCACATTGCTTCGAAGAGCTTGCACATTGCTCAGATACTCCTGCCATGCAGCACTGCACACTGGTATTTCCAGCCTTTGCTGCTCTGAAGAACAAGGATGGAGCTTGGAATGGCAGCCAGGTCTCCCACTGCACTTCTGTTTGCTTCCCCTCCCCTTCTACCCTAAAAAACAGACTCAAATGTTACAGAAAGTTATCAACTATCCTTCCTGGCCTTTTTGTAAAATTACATATACATATACATGTGTGTGTGTATGCATATATATTTGTCTGTATATATAGGTATTGTATAAATCTTCCCATAAAGCTGAATTTTTAGCGTCATAGTATTTTATCCTGCTTTCCCATCATCATCTGGATGTCCCTTTTTGGCACAAGAAAACAATTAGTTCTGCAACTTGCAGGTGCGATAAGAAACAGTGCTTTTTGAGCTCCACTCCACAATCTCCTGATGTTCCTTTGCTTCCCGAGGTGATCTAGCTCTAGCAGGGCTGCGGAGGAGCAGCGTGCTGCTGGGAGCTATTCCCACCTCACCGCAGCAGCTCTTCTCCCGGGAATTTCTGGAGCAAGTGAATTAGCACCACAACACAGTCAAAGCAGGCATTACTATAAAAGCCATGGAGTTACCTCCTCTGGAGAATATAAATGTTTCCAAGGAAAACCTTGGGCCTACTCTGGCAGTGAAGCAGTATCTCTAGGGAACACGATGCCTTCAGTGTTTTTATTTTGGAAGTGCATTCTTCCACTTTCATATAAAAACAAATTGTTATTTTTTTAATAATGTGGGAAAAACCTTTCAGCAAAGGAAACAACTTAAGAAATACTCAGTTCTTTTTAACAGGGAGATGGTTAAGCAAAGTATTATATTTACATTTTAGAAATAGTTACATCTTCGGCAGCCAATTAGAGTTCTCTGTTAAGCAGCCTTGTGATGCAGTGATATTTTATAAATACCATGGCAATGCGCAGAGCAGAGCTCTGCCCCAGCAACTGGGTCACAAGAATTAAACTGTGTCTCTCTCCATGGAAATGCCACATTGTAAATTTTGTGTTACTAGTACAAAAGCAAGAGGAGTCTATCCTATAACATATTTAGAGAATAAAAATAATTGAAGGATTTAATAGTAATTTATACCATCTGTGTTGAAATTTCCAGATTAGAGAGCTGTTACTGAAAATATAGGACCTAAAGCTGCTTATACAGTCGAGAGATGACATACTTATCTGATATGATGTAACTGCAATGGTATGCATTCATAAAATAAGCACAGTTCAAAGAATACTTTGGATATATTTGTATTTAATTAGAATCAGGCAAATTTCCAGCATGTGAACACAAGAGCTGCTGCTTAGCTGTGAGTGCAGGTTGCTTCCTCTGCAACCCATTCCYGCTTTGCCCAAACTGTCAACTTTGGGGACAACTAATTGGAGCAGCTTTTAGCAAAGGTGACAACTTCAGTTCCTGGGCTCATTCACCATGCAGGGCTTTAGCAGCACTTCCATTAAGCAACTTCTGAGAATGAAACTGAATACTGCACTGGGAGAGGCAAGATAACGATGGCACACGGTCCCCAGTACAGAGAACGGGGGACTGCAAAATAAAGCCTTTGTCTGCCACAAAAACACACTTTTCAAGTTCATTGTGGTTACACAGATGCTGCTGTGACACGCAAGGACCACGACTCGGAAAACTGGGATTCTTTTCCTGTTTGCCTATTAGTCTGCTGGAGATTCAGGAGAAGATTCAGAAGAAGATTCAGAAACCCCAAAGTAACTAAAGCAGTAACATTAGCACTGCATTTTTATCCAGCACAGGAAGGTCTCTTTTTTCTTTTTTTTTTTTTTTCTCAGTTCAGTACATTCCTATGTGAGTTTCCTGGAAAATAATATTTGATTGTTTGGAGAAGTGGGCCGGCTTGCTCTGCTATGCTTCAATTCTCTAATAATTTCCAGCCATTTTAAAATGATTTTTTGTTGTTGCAACAAACAACTTTTAATCACCTCTATGACTGAGCTGGACTCTTACATCGCTTCTTGTAATGCTCATGGTCAGTGATATGCAGCCCCGGCCAGTCACTACTGGCCAGTCACTAATACAATATATTTATACGGTAATGTAAATATTCATGCTATATATGCTATGTAATATTCTATTCTAGCCAAAGCTTCTTGAGAGATTACCCTTCACGCCATGCCAAGTGCATGGATGTGGTTCCACCGATAAGTGGCATAAGCTGTAACAGGACTACCTAAATTGCACACAAGTTGACTGTTTCCTTCCTTCCATCCACTGAGATGGAGCAGATCTTGTATACCTGGTTTGTCACCTGCTTGAAATGTTAAATATGTGTAAGTTAGTCAAAGAAGGCTGCGTTATAAGGATGTGCACCCAGTCTGTGTCACTAGTAGTTTACAGATCTCCTAGTGTAATGTTCCTGTTCGTGTCTTTCCCCAAATCTCTGCGTACTCCAGCYTCACCTGCAGCTCATCAGGCTAGTRCAGGGAGGGGATAAGCATGGATTGCAAAGGCAGAATAATCACCGATGAGGAAACTTAGAAGTTCCTGGATCACTGCCACCCACAAGCTAAAAAGTGCCTACTCTTCACTGATGCAGCAAATTTGCTTCCTTTAAAAACCAGCTTTGAAAGCACCCGCTGCTTGTCTGTGCTCTCTAGGACAGCTGAATGGAGCTGCAAGAACAGGCTATGGATTCAAGGCTGATCGATGTAGAAGCTGCCCACACCTTCCCTCTCTGCACCCGTGACAGCACAAGAGCATCCCATATCTTATCTCAAGAGCCAAAAGTTTGGCTACTGGAGTTACCAAATGCATAGAGGAAATAAAGTCAACAGGAACTGTTGAAATGAAAAAAAAAGGTTAAAAAGTCACTCAAAAGGATTCTGTAGAAGCCTTCTGTCTATCATCCATTACACATCCAAGCAAACAAATACGGGCAACAACCTTTCATACACTGTGATGTTTTTCATATCACAGCATGAGCTAAAATGTCAGTATCTCATTGTCCAAAATGACTAAAATGAGTATCCAGAAGACACCTTACTTTGTCTTCCCCCACTGCTGYTATTGTTCTTAGTGCATGTGATCCCCTATCCTGCCTCCTCCTCCTCAAACCTCTTGAAGGTCCATCCTGATCTTGCGGTGCAGGGCTCATCAAGACTTTCCAAGGGACACTGTTGACCAGTGATGACTTTGGAATTCAGTTGCAATCAATTAAGGGCATATGTTTACATATTAATGTCTTGCCACTCTATATAATAGTTCTTTAAATTGGAATAAATTTAGAAGATTATCAAGAAAAGACCCTGGAAAACTGCTAACAGATCAGGATTTATGCATGTGCTTTTTAAACATGTAATACTTACTTGTAAGGATTGTCAGCAAAAACAGGTACTCTGCATATGAGATCAAGCCTGAAATAAAACAGGAAAAGATTACTTGCAAGTAATAGAGGTAGCRAGTCTTGAAAGATCGAGTATCTCAAATTAAAAAATAATGTAGAYCAGTATGTTAAAGTAAGCTTCTTTAATTATTTAATAAAGTCCCTACTTCTGCTTTTAGGACTCTGAAGGTGAACGTCTCTATCAAGAGACTCATCAATGTTCATACCTAATGCAGAGAGTTAGGTTTATCTGGCCCTAATAGAAGGCCTGCACTAAATCTTTGGCTTTCTACTGAAAACATTCCATGTTTATACAAAAGCAAAATAAATTAGCTGCGCTTTGTCACATTTAGCACCTGGGAGGAGAACTACTCCAGCGTTACCCTCCAGGATCAAAGGGTCCCATGGGCGGGCAGCCCCGGAGAGGCGGGAGCAGCTTCCCTGTCAGTGCCCGGGGGCAGGCGGCAGGCGCGGAGYTGCCAGGCCGCGAGACCGGCCGGCGGCTCCGCCGGGCCGCGTGCCAGCAGGAGCCCGCTCTGTTTTTTCAAAATAGGAACATGTCCTTTCTGCAAGGTGAAAGTATTTCCCCCGCCCCTTTGGAAGGAAAATTCCAGCGTTTCCCTTTGAAATACCACCTCAAATGAGAAAGCCTGAACAAACACCAAGATGCGATAGCGTCAAACTAGAGCGCCTGGGCTAAAGATAGCGAACGCCGCACGGGGCTGGGTGAGCACCAGAATCTGAAGCATCTGCCCTGCAATAATGCGTGAAGAAAAAAAATGTGAAGGGCTTTTTTATAAACTGCTTTTCGAAATAACTGAGCTACTTTTAACTTGTGAACTAAACATCGTATCATGCCGAAGCTGCTTAAAATAATGAAGTTTAGACATGCCTCTCTGTGCAAAGATAAACACTTTTTATAATTTACATTGAGTTAATTGATAGATAAGGGATCCACTTTGGTGATAAACAATTAACTTCTGATTAATTACCATGCAGAGCCAACAGCATTTGTGTCTGCTTTCATATAGTGACTTAACACTTACTGGTTTAAGTACCAGTGTTTAGAAATATTAAATTGCTGAATGCAACAGTCTGAATACCTGACTAGATCAGATCTCTTTTCTAGAGGCCGATCTAATGCTGCTGCTGCTGCTGCTGATTCACTCTGGCTCTGCATTTCAGCCTCCTTATCCATCAAAATACAGCTATTCACTCTACAAATCAGCAGGTGAGTCATGTTTAAGTCAGCACAATACCACAATCATACAATACACTATGCAAATAGAAATAGAGAGCTCGGAGAGTTTTAGCTATCTGAGTGGACAGGGATAATCATATATTGAAAAAAAACTGCAGAAAGAATCTTTGTATTTTGGAGAAAAAAAAAAAAAGCTTCGTACAGAGATGGTAGGACCAAAGGAGAGACCAATTTAAAGACAGAACAGCCTGCAGRTGTTACCCAGGTGAAAAACATAAGGGCTATGTGCTCCAATCGGAGAAGGTTTGGGAGAAATGACAGGGTGGTCATATTATCTTGAGCTGATTGAGAAGTCACAACAGTGAAATTGGTGTTAAGGTAAAGATTCTTACACATTTTTATTATGTGTAAAAACCTCTTGATTATATTTTAAAAACCTGTCCCAGTGACTTAAAAGCAAATCCATRGCATGTCTGACATTTCCTGGCAAAACCAAGGTATCAGGGCTGAACTTGAGATAAGATTTAAGCTGTAGATTCATTGACATAAAAATCCTTCTCATAATTTTACCGTCTTTTTACTACTTTTAATAAAATGTGTACAATTTATGCATATAGTAAATTAAATACTTTGTGTTTTTTTAATTCTCAAACTACTCAAATTTCACATGTAAAGATGCAACAAATAAAAATAATAAAGAAAAAGTCCAAGGAAAACTGAAAAGATAAAAACTTCATACACTGTTGAATGATTCAGCATACTCATAACCAAGGTCCTGCATTTGGCACTAGCAAGAATACATTAATCTTCTAATCCTTTCCTGGAAAACTCTATCTTCAAACTTCAGAGGAAATGTTGATAATACTGATAATGCTGAATAAATTGTAATTATCCTCACAGATTATAACACACTTTTTAAAACTGCCCACTAGAAGGCAGAATTCCCTAGCTTTAAGTTTTCCAAACTGGACTGATGACAACATGTTCTGTACTTAATATTTAAATAACAATTTGGTGGTAGCTAAAATAATCTCATCTGAACAGTGGAACAGGTGTAGATTTATTATTTTGGTGCTTTTAAAAACAGTATTTAAAATACATATAAATATTTATAGCTTTTCAAATGAACTAATGAAAAGCAMAAAAGCATGAAAATCTCTAGAGAGGCGTCACGCTCAAAACCAGCTGAAATCCCACGTGTTGCAGTCGCACATGGATGACATGGATCAAATGYTCCTGCAACATCTCAGACTCCTGATGGATTTTGGGTGGAGGGGGGGATGGAGGACAGTCCCACACTCCCAAACAACAGAAGGTCTATGGTCCAGAATGACAACTGCTACAAAACCTCTTTTTGGGAGGGATTTCAGTCTTTGTTATTGATAAATTGGTTACTCATTTGTTTGGTTTCTTTGACCCTTTTGTTAGTTTTCGACCCTCTTCAATTAATGGATGAAAATGAAGCATTTACTTGTTGTTCTTTATTCGCCTGGTGTTACACAAGCAACAGCTTCCAGAGGTTTGGATTCCCCTTCCGTAGCCAGGTAGGAGGCTGAAGCAACCCCAAGCACCTGAACCTGAGAGGGGTCCCCAAGTTCCCTGAAATGGGATGAACAAGTTCCCTGCTCTTGGGAGCAGAAACACAACTTTCCATCATCAGACACAAATTTTATCTTTAGTCATTTCACTACATTTCAACTCCGTAATGAAACAGCAGTTCATTAATAAYGAAACTCAAAAGCCAATTTTGTGCAAAGGGTGCCCTTAGCCATAGGTTATTGACTGATGCCTCTTTCAGCCCTCCCCTTCTCTACTTTAAGTAGATTTTCTGCTTTCTCTTTTGCATCCTACATGTACCTCAGAGAGCTTTCAGTGCCCAGCTCTGCCTCTTTAATCCTTCTTGTATAACTGAGAGGCTTGCCAGGGAGGTAACTCCTGGCTAGATATGGAAGAAGTCAAATCCACAGAGGCTTATTCAAACATATATTGAATTTCTACTACACAATAAGATCAAAAGCCAGATTATTTTTCCGTATCAAGTGCCCCGTTACCTTTATCACCAAGTTCTCTAAAAAAGGTCGGTCCCGGTTTAGCTTTTGTGATGTTTGTCAGTGCGGCATCTACCTCCTTTAAAGACACAAACAAGAAAATGGAAAATCAGTTTTGAAGAGGAAGTCACTTGGTTGGGTAGCAGCAAGAATGCAAGCTCCTTTGAAGAAGGCGAGGACCATTTTCCTTACCTTCTTCGTGAGTTTCTTGGCTGGAGTTTTACCTATAATAAAAAAAAATCATCATTACTCAATAACCAACTTTGATGTGAAACTTTGATCAAGTTCTGTGGCGTTTCTTCAGATTTTTATGGGAAAATACTAAGTAATACGAAACAGAATATTTTGAAGTGGGCCGTTTGTTTCTAATTCCCACAACGACAACGTATTTTGCAATACGAGCAGTCTGTTCAAAYGTTCGTGCAACGGAGGCGAAACCACAAGCACCTTGGGTATCTCTGACCAGCCTGCTGGCCTCAGGGCACAGGCTCCTTGTGCAGGTCTCGGGATGGCTGCTCCTCACACGGTCCCAACCACTTTGGTGTGTCCTGCGTGTTTTCCTAGGCCTGTGTCGTGGCCAAACGGAGCTGCATCCTCAGTCACACCCCACGTTTCCTCACCAGTGGTGGCATAAGAAGTGCCCAGGAGTTAGAGGGACTCCCCTTGCAACTTTCAGCTTCAAGCCAAGGATGGGGCTGGACGATCCTCACTAGCTTGGCTTTCAGTGTGGGCAAATCAGTGCATTGGTCTCTCTTCTCTGAAGCAGCAGCAACATTTTTGCTGATAAATTCCTCTCCCCACCCCCAATCCCAACTCAGCCTAAGGCAGACACCTGGCACAGAACGTTTCAACCCAAATGTTTAAGTTTGACAAAAGTTATAGGCAACTAAAATTAGGGTTTTATAACTAGAGTGTTCAGTGACCCTAACAACAGGTGCTGCCAGCACCACCTGTTACTTTACTATGTATGAGTACATTTTTGTGCAATGCATATACATATATGTACACACATAAAGTCACATAGACGGATACCTCCTATCTGAAGTAAAAAAAAATCCACAGTTCTGCCCCATTTGAGATAAAAGAGGTCGGGCTAATGGCAGTGTGGCAGACTGTGCAAAAATATATATACATCTCTGTGTCCAGGCAGGCAAAGCCCAGCACTGGGTGATGTAACTCTACAATTTAACACCACTCACTCTCATAGAGCTCTCCTAATGAATGGGTATTTGGCAAATTATGTGATTTAGACCTCGGCTTAACATCTGCTTTGGAATGTCACCTCCTGAAACCTTCTCAATCTGCAACTAAATCACACTGCAGCAGCTCCTCTCGGTTAGGGGAGACCCACAGGGCAAGAAGCCTGGTCAGATGGAGCATGTCAGGCTGAAGCTCTTCCTCTTTCCATCCACGTCTGACCAGCCCACSGGGGACAGGCAGAGCAAGTAAGAGCTCCCAAAGATGGGTGCTGCTTTCCAGAGAAAAGCAGAATTTGGAAGAAAACAAAAATGGAAAGTCACCGTACAGCAACTTCCACTGGAAATGCTTCCTGGCACTCCTGTCTGCTTTGGAGCCAGCCAGGCACCTGGGCTTGGTGAACAGCAGCTCCTCTCATTCAAGCTCCTGGTGGCTACGCGTGCACCCATGGAGGAAGGGCTACTCCAGTGGCGTATGGAGCGCGGGCCCTTTGCCGGCTTCTCCAGGAGGATGAGGAAGGGGGAAGCAGGGCCTGCAAAGGCAGGAGCAGGTGCTCTGGGAGAAGCCCCCAGCCGGTTCCAGAGCTGAAGGAAGAGGAGCAGCAATGATGGGGAGACCTCAGTGCACACGCTGCCCGTGGCTCCAAAGGAAGGATGGGGAATCACACTGGCAGGAAAGGAGYGMGTGAGGAAGWAGCASTGTCTCACASAATCACAGACTGATTGAGGTTGGCAGGGACCTCTAGAGATCATCCCGTCCAACCCCCTGCTCCAGCAGGGACACCCAGASMACRGGGCACAGGGTGGCAGCCAGGTGGGTTGGGAAGATCTCCAGAGAAGGAGACTCCACAGCCTCCGTGGGCAGGGAGGTTTGCTGGGGAGCAGGAGGAAGAGGAGAACAGCCCTGGGCCCCGCAGTGCACGAAGGGCAGAGCTACAGCTGTGCACTGCAGCCGGCAGCGTGAGGGGCAGCGACTGCAAAGAAAGGGCAAAAAAAACAGGGGAGAGAAATATAGAGACTTTTTTTTWAAACCCATTTTCTAAGTAGGAAATACAGCAGAGTAATAAATGTGAATTCTCTTTTTGTTTAAYGACTCTTCTCAAATGTGTTTAGAAAGCAGAATTTCTTCTAACTTAGCYAAATGGAAATGGCATATGGATCTCAGCAAGTCTGTACTGGTAGTCAGTAATCTTGTTAACAACAAAAAAAAAAGCCTTACATTTGGGGTATTAGTGTTACCTTTCATATTGCTATTTTTGAAAAGTATTAGACTACAACCTTACAGTAATTTTATCATTTAAATTGCATAATGAGTTTCCGCCAATAATTATTTTAATATTCGCTGGGAATGAAATTCAATTACACCCTATTGCTGCTGTCACCAGGTAGAAACATCTGTGAAGACTCAACTCTCAACTTTCACTTAGAAACATTAGCTACTTTTATCGTGCCATTCGTAATATTCCTTGAATACTAATTTAGCTCTTACTGCTTCTCCTTGCCCTGGGTTCCCTTCCCAACAATGTGGTCCCTTTAGAGCGTCAACAAGGGGGCTTTGTTGAGGGCGCCCGCTCCCGTATCGGACGTGCGGCCCTCTGAGGAACACCATCCTTTAAGGCCATCATTAGGAAAAGAAGGTTAACTCCTCTGCACAAGAAATGCACGRCAAGGCTACCAGCAAATCTCTTAGCTGATGCAGACAGTGAAAAAGAGGCCCCTTCGTCGTTATCAATCAAATCGGGGYGTAATTGGTGTTGTCCTTCCTGATAAATGACCACAAATACATCGAGATCCAAGTCTCTCTCTAAGGAATATAGCCAAGGATATAATTATTGGAAACTATTTTATACGATAAGAAAAAGATCTGAAGGATTCACTTTCGTATAGTTTTATTCTTTTAACTTTCAACTGATATATTTTTAATAACGCATAAATCAATGGCATATTAGAAAACCTGCTCATAATAGTAACAGTCTTACTTCGATACCATAAAAAGAAAGTTAGAATTTTTATTGTCCTGAACATGAAAGAAGGGGACGAAAAAATTGTTTTTTTTTCTACAGATCTGCCAAGACAGATGGAAATTCTTGCTTTAAGTAAAATGAGTATTTTCAAATGTCTGTACCTATTTTACAGATGCCATCATCTGATTTTCACTATCTACAGTGGTTCCTTGAAGCAACAACCAGATATAGACACATATTTTGCAAACAAAAACAAAGCCCTTTTAGCTTTTAAAGTTAATCTATTGGAATAAATACCAAGTCTACTTACAAGCATACAAATTCTGTGCCGTTAGCCAAGAAAGTTAGTTGACAACCGTAATTAAGAAAACACTGCCAAGAGCAGCTACTTCAGCTTTAATTTGCCCTCGGCAAATCTGGGTCTTTTGTCACACGTATTTCTTACAATAGAAGTGTTTCCATCATCTATCTGTTTCTTACATTGTTATGTAGAAAGAACCTGACATCAATGTTAGGATTAACATTAGGAAAGGGCTGAATTAAACAAGTACCCACTTGCGCTCAGCAACACCCATTTACACCCATACGGCTTGGGAAAGGCTTAGATCTGACAAAAGATATTTAGAGCCAAAGAATGAAAAAAATCACTGAGATCAATCATTATAACAACAAGAATCAAATGCAAAACAAAAGCAGAGAAACTACTCCCCGAGATAAAGCAGAATTTCACACATCTCAATAACTGTTCTATTTTTTTAATAAAGAAGTTAAACATAATTTCCAAATCAATCTTTCCCAATAGCCTTAACTTCAAATCAGAACAGTAGCTAAACAGATACCTTTTACCAGGAAAACAACAAATGCCTATTACTTTTCCACTGAAGTCTCTGAGAAAGTTGTACCAGGTTCTCTTATTTTTAGTTCTATTTTGGACAGACACAGTGATAATCAAGTTAAAAAAAAGTAATTGCAGATTTTTAAAATTTATTTTGKATGGCAACCACTACTGTCTTTGCTGAAGCTTGGCAGGTTCAAAATCAGATTGAGGAGCTACGAAATTGTAATTTATTCTCTGAAAAAAACACAGGAAGAATAGCACTCTGCACGTCACAATTCAAGAAAAGAGGCTCTGGTTCTGCAAACGGAGGAGGGATGAGCCCTTGTGGGTATGTGGGATCTCAGCACGGCTCTCGCCAGGATCGGGGCCTGGCTAAAACAAAACAGGCTGCGAGCAGCTCGTGYCGCGGCCTTTTTCCTCTGGGAAACATGGGTAAAGCTTTTGTTTAAGRTAGTCTAAAGTATACAATTATCAAAGTTAAGTAGCTGGCGTTCAATTCCCAGCTTTTTTGATATTGGACAGGTAGCTTAGTTGAGCGAGTTCTCCTGTGTTTATCCTGTTTATTTAGACTACCAACTCCTTAAAGAAAAGATTGTCTTTGTGCCTTTTCAAAGTGTTTTCCAATCTAAAGGGCAAGATTCAAACCAATAATTTAGACCTTTAAGAAGCCTACTTCTGTAATATTAGAAACAGATAAATCGAGCAGAGTCAAAAAATGTAAAAAAAAAAGGCTTTTTGAAAGCGTGATAAAACAAGCAGTCAGGTTCCTATGATAACTCCTAGTAAACCAGTAACTGAATAAATGAGAGCACTATGCAAAGGAACTGAGAATACACTGAGCTAGGAAGCTTTTATTGAGCCAACGCATTACTCTACTGAAATGTAATTGACAGAAGTCATCTCCATCAGCCAAACTAGTGAATTGAAGCACCGGAATCAAAGCCCTGGGGTGCCGAGTGGAAGGGGCGACACGGCACTTCTAGAAGTTTCCGACACATTCTACAAGACAAGTCTGGCATCTTGGGGAAACAAGTGTTGCATCTGTCCTCCTTTCCTCACCGCAATCGTTCCTCTAGGGAAAGGGGAAACGCTCAGCCCCGGGTGAGGCCTACACTGGCCGATCTCCACTTCAGAAGAGCAGCTGCGGCAGCCCCCGTCCGGAGCAGTGGATTTCTCCCTCAGGAAGGCAGCCTGGGGTGAAAAGGRTGGGAAGCTGATGTAGGAAG